GGGGCCAGCAAGCGGGCAGCCCCTGCGCTACATGCTGAACCTGTACCGACGCGCTGCCGACCGCGAAGGACGACCCCGCGACGGCCGCAGCCTGGGCACCAACACCGTCCGCCTGGTCCGGGCCAGTTCCCACGGGGGTCAGCCCTGGGCAGGTAAGGAGCAGGTGGGGCACCAAGGGCAGTGCAGGGGCTTAGCAGAGCCAGTGAGGTGGGCTTGAGCCCTGGGTGGTCTCTGCCTGCCCGCTTCCCCCTCCTTACAGCGTCCCACCCAAGGCTGGGATGTCCTGTGCCCTACAAGGCTGCCATGTCGATGTGGGGCCCCCCTTAGCCGGGGGCCCAGGCTCTCCCTGCCCCAGGGGTGAGATGGGCAAGCGCATCACTGGCCCCCACATGCCCCTCTGCTTCCCGTTCTGCCCAATGTTTTGCCAGGACAGTGGTGTTGGTGCAGAGGATGGAAGTTGTCCCAGCTGCTCTTTGCCCTCCACCTCGCCAGCGAGCGGTGGCATGCAGCTGCTCTTTGAGGGCCCTGCCTCGTGCTGGGGCACCTCGCTGTTACGGGCTTTCAGGGTGGTGATGCCACGGGCTCCACTGCACCCTGCGGGGCTGGAGCAGCACGCTGGGAGAAGGCTGCGCTGGCGCGGTGCCTGCCGTGCCATACCAGAGGCACTGACCGCTGCTTCCCTGCAGGTCGCTGGTACGTGCAGCCCCTCACCTACCACCTGGAGCGCCAGCCTGAGGCCGAGCACCTCCTCCGAGCCACCATGGTCTACCTGCCCAGCCTGCCGATGGCCCGTGGTCACCTTCTCTGTGCCCTGGAGCTGGCAGCCACCAGCGAGGCAACCAGGGTGCTGCTCAGCCCTGCTGCCCGTCCCCTCCATGGCTGGGCTGAAGCGGATGTCACCCCTTACCTGGTGCTGGGGAGTGGCAGCATGGGAAGCCTGGCACTGCGGCACGTCTGCGTGCATGCCAGCCGGGCAGGGGGCCATGATGCCCCAGTGGCCCCCAGCCACCCCTTCCTCCTCCTCTATCTCAACGACACCCGGGCTGGGCTGGCACCTCCAGCAGCAGAACCCCACCGGCACCGACGTGACACAGGGACGCTAGCCCACGACCTGCCTGGCTACCTTCGGGAGCAGGGAGGGGAGAAGAGTGACTGCTCTCTGCACCCCTTCCCCGTCAGCTTTGCCCAGCTGGGCTGGGACCACTGGATCATCGCTCCCCACCGCTACAACCCGCGCTACTGCAAGGGTGCCTGTCCCCGCCTGCTCCGCTACGACTACCATGCGCCCAACCACGCTGTGGTGCAGAGCTTTGTCCATCAGCTGGTGGATGCCAATGTTCCCCGGCCCTCCTGTGTCCCCTACCGTTACAGCCCCATCAGCGTCCTCATGATCGAGCGTGACGGTGGCATCCTCTACAAGGAGTATGAGAACATGATCGCAGAGTCCTGCACCTGCCGGTAACGCCTGCTGCCCTGGCACATCACCCCCAGGCTCTGCCTGTCTCTGCTGGATCCAGACTTTAGGGTTTGTCTTGCTCTGCCTGGGGTGGGTTCGTCCCCTCTCCCTGCAGCGCACTGCTCTGTGGGAAGGTTTTACAATGGCAGTTTTATGTAAATTGTAGGTTTTTAAAGGCAGGAGCCTGTGCTGGGGTGGGCCTGTTGCATCTGTCCTTCCTGCAGCCCCACAGCCACTACCTGTTTTTGGGGGGTGGAGGGGCTTGGACCGATGCTCCCAGAGAAGAGCTGGGTCCCTGGACTGGAACACAAAGCTCTTATGAGGTGGCCGAGGGTCTCCTGGTGGAGCCAGGGCAGGGAGGGTGAGCAGTCCAGGTGTCCCTGTGCTTGGCACCAAGCTAGTGCTGTTAGTATCCAGCACAACCCTGCCCATAGGATTCCTTCCCAGCTCACATGCGCCCCATCCTGTCTAGTCCTAGCTGTGGTGGCATCTCCACAGGCTGGGAATTGGTCT